TATATGTATGTATGTATGTATGTATGTAATTTAGCCCAGAGTTTCCAGGAGACCTTCGGCAGATTCCAGTAGGTGCTGAACAGACATGTTCTCTATCTGTTGCTCCACCAAAGTACCCTTGCTCGATACATGTTGACCTTCTCCTTCATAAGCTGTGCCTTGTGGGCGTTCACAATTCACTAGCACCTGTGCGTATGCGAAGTATCCTGCCTTTATACGTCAGCCAGCCCTTGTGCACACACTTGACGGCCTTCGAGCACCCCATCAGAGTCGATAGTCTCGGGAAGATAGCTGCCAGAGGCTTCAGATCGGCTCGCGGTGGCAGAAATCAAGCGTCACAAACCCCTGGCTTTTGACCCTCCTTTATGTACTTGCTTACTTTCCTATGTAGCACTGTCATGCTCTTGAACAACCACCACACTATAGTAGCCTTGATCCGGACGCTTGCCGCCCTAGAATCAGTTTCAAAATCTAGTGCGTTCAGATAGAGCTCGAGAGAAGCATACTTGGTTGGGAAATAAAGCATATGGCCATCATCCCGTTTACACCACCCGTACACCTGCTTGTTTCCTGGTTGGAACAGGTTTAATTCTATACCGTCGGATTCTACATCGAATGCCCAGTTGTTGGAGTTAGGATATTCCTGATTGTGATCTATTGCTGAAGTTTCGAATGGTTCGAAAGGCCTACATAAAGGCCCTATTGAAGGCCTACATCCTGGCCCTAATGTAAATGGGTATAGTGTACGGTCTTCGTCAAGGGGCAGTATTTGATGTATCTCTACTTTAAATTTTACCCCTTGTTGGACCGCAACGTTACGATGCCTTTTTGTAGAGCCATAGCGTGCAAGCGTGTGCTGTTAGCATACATCGCCTCGTTCCCATGTTGATTCCCCACACCAACATACCACACGCTACCTATACACGCACGATTTAGCATGTCATTCGAGAAATCCTTGTGTGATTTGGCTCGTTCTGCCACCCACAAGCTCGCCACCAGGTCTGCTAAGGTATAGTCAGAGAGAACAAGCAGCCAAAAAGGGATGTAATTGGGCCTCGATGCGATTACGTGAACGTTTGCTGAGAGTTTGCGTCGTTTCGCTACAGGTGCGGATGATGTGGCGCCACCTAAAGCACGGGAGCCGAACATATTACTATAGCATTTGTTGTTCTGTTCACAGTGGTTAGTACTGAGCAAAGGGTTTAAAGTGCGAATATCAGCCTTGTACTAAAAAACTTGTTTACATTTACGCCCCTAAATTTAAACATGGCTAAAGCCCGCGTAAACTGTGAAAGGTTTTGGTGTTCGAGAAACCAAGTTCACGAATAGAACCCAACCAGTAGAGTGATGTAGGGTTGGCTGAGAATAAATAGATTTTGGTCTCTGTTCAAAACAAGAGAAGTAGTCACTTACATAGCACAACGTAAGTATCTACGTTGTGTGTTCTGTGGCAAGTAGATACCCTTAGGATCTGTAGGGTGTGCTATAAAGTGTGCCCGATTGATATGCCACCAGCCTAAGTTCTGTTCACGGAGGGTTCGGAATAGTGCATAGTGCCGTCGTCTATATTACAGATTAGATATAGCCCAGAATTCACGACAGACCAATCCGCCTATCCGGAGCTTGTGCACGTGATCGATAGGCCGGGCAATCAACATAGTACACGCGTATGTAATTTAATACGTACAAACACTACACAGACATATACATCTATATATAAAAACATAGGTCTTAGAACATGAGCTACCAATACTTGAAGAACAATGTCCTGCTGGGCGTATTCGGCGTCACAAGCTTCTGCTTCATAACGACGCACGTGGCTGTAGTACTGTGCATTAATGGCAATTCCATGGAGGTGAGTTCGGTGTGTAGCCTGAGTCATAGATATACACTTGCCACACTCTTATAGTCTATCTGCACTTTTGTAGTTGTATATAAAAGTCTATCTTCTCGTCCGGCGCTACATGTATGCTGTTGAAATGGGCTAGAACTGCAACGCTCTTATTATGACCCTCCGCTCAGCAGACAAACGGTGACCCTCGTGCACACAGAATGAATATGTCTTTTCTCACCCTATACTACGGAAGATACTGCTTTAGCGAATCTTTTGATGGTACGAATTCAGCCATTAATTGGCACGTCGATGTGTACAGAGTATTCGTACAAACCAGAGCTCAAAAACAGGAGCGAGCATCCTGTGAGCTGTAGGAACGTGCAGTGTCTGCAACTTGTTGTACACCTAAAAAAACACCAAACTTGTATTCTTGTGAACATAAGCTGAACAAATAGCACTGAGTGTGTTTTGATATACGCTTGTATGTTAATTAACCCAACTAATTTATGATGTTGATTTGACCCACGTCCGCTGTTGTTCATGTATTATATGTGTAATCCAAGTGATCTGTCTCATAAGCAAATGTCTTACTTATGCATTCGCTTGCAGCCCACTCTCCTTGATGGCGACCGCGTGCTCGTGGCGAAATGGGACCGTCCGGTCCGTTTCGACGGAAGGCAATCATCGAGATACAACCCCACAAGAGGAGATATAGTTGTGCTTAGGTATATTGGAACGGCATCAGTGGGCGTGTATGTGTGTACCTTATTCGCTCAAACTACTCCTCAGAAGTTTGTATGCGTGTGTATGGCGTATGCTAGACAAAGGACTACAAAAGCGCTCTCGAACGAGCACTTTTAGAGTGAATGAAGTGGCTTGTATTCTCGATAGAGCATGCTTGGCAAATATTCACTTTTGTATCCAATTCATTTGTGTGCACATGTATATCTAAGTGCACAGATGTGCACAAACAAGCGACGTGCGTAGTGTCAGCGGTACACGCCTTGCTGAACTTATTGAGCACAGTAGACTAGCGTGTTGCCTGCCTGGCCGGTTGTGATATCAATCGAAGTGGTTCACATTTGGTGGTCCTGAACCGCAGTTCGTTCTACAAACGACACAGCAGGTGATGGAATAATGATAGATGTTTGTCATATAGATTAATATGTTGATACGTGCGGTTGCTCATATCACCTGTGCACGTGTATGGCATCCCATGTTGTCACGTCCTGTCATGTGGCTCGCAACGTTTAGGCTGTTGACGATTTTGAAAACCATGTTTATTGATTTCATGCATGTGCGTGGTCTGATCCAAAGAAGCCATAACACTTGTACTATACTCAGCTGCGCCGTGCGCAAGAAAGCTGGCAACTTGTAGTATTCAATTCAGATGATGGCAGAAGCCTCGCTTACCCACTGACATCACTTAATGATAGTACAGTGCTATCTGCATGATTGGTTGCTGTTTTTGTACTCAAAGCTATCGCCCTCTGTGAATATCCTTTGCAAATCAGGCTTACAAACTTAATAATGGTATACGTCGCATGATTTCGTTGTGGGTGGTACCTATTGTCTGAGTATATACACCAACCAATCAGATCACCACAGAAGCCCAAGGAACGACTGGTGAAGCGAATCCTGGGCTTTGAGGGGGACGTGATCAGAACAAGACCCTCTGTCGATAAAACCGAAACAGTCCGCATCAACCCAGGCCAGATGTGGATAGAGGGCGATAACAGCAGGGGAAGCATGGACTCGAATACTTACGGACAGGTAGGTGATGCAGGTCCATAGCATGTAGACGTCTTACACAATGGAGTTACACGCGTGTTTTATGAGGCATGGTTTTCTGTGAGTACTTAGGACCATGGGGAGTGGCGACTCTACGACCCTCACGTGGTATGCATACATAGGATTGTGCATGCGCTCGTGGTTTGTAATATCCAGTACATTCAATCGCTGTGTCATTTCATGCATATCTACGCTCTGGGAAGGAGGTTCCAACCGCTTGCCCGTACGGTCTAAATACTGATTACGAGATACCCCTAAGAGGCCCTGTAGATCCTTTCAGCCTAAATACCAAACCAAAAATACCACCAACCCGCGATCGCTACAAAGGGTGTGTCTACTGGGTGCAGGTATCCACCCAGTCAACGTTTATCCACCCCAAATAGTTTGAGTGCCATTTACAATATGTTTTGCGGTGCACGGCACTTGAATTTGACAGTGTCGCAGCAATTGTTCGTGCCGGCGCTTTCTTCTTTTCATTTGCCTGCATACGAGTGCGATGCGTAGGGCTGGATAAGCAATTGCAGTATAGGACAGTCTCATAGTTATTTCAGTATAGAGTAGTCCTAGTTGGATCAAAGCTCGGAGAGAGGTGTTCATAGCTGATTGGGTGGCCCTCATATATGTAATACAATACGGGCAGTGCCACATGTGCAACAGTCGTACTTAAGAAGTAGATCCAGGTCAATGGCTTGCTCAGTGTATTTGTGCCAATGTATTGCGATCGCAACGTAGGAGCCGTGATGGTCGGAAAAATATAAGGGTGAATATAGAAGCCATAGATACAGCACGGCTGTCGAGGGTACATAGTATATACACGCACACGCACACACACACAAACACACACACATATATATATATATATATATATATATTATGTATATATATATATATATATATGGGTGTGTGTGTGTGTGTGTGTGTGTGTGTGTGTGTTGTGTGTATATATATATATATATATATATATATATATATATATATATATATATATATATATATATATATATATATATATATATATAGTATATATATATATATATATTGTGTGTGTGTGTGTGTATGTGTGTGTGTGTGTGTGTGTGTGTGTGTGTGTGTGTGTGTTCTCGCATAGCCTATTCATCTGCGCTAATTTCTGATCCATGTATTCGGTTCGGTATTTAACGCAAATTGCATACGTCGGTCAATTCGCTGTAACCGAACCAAAGCAATTTCTATCTCATACACAGATGCCAATTAATCTAATCGAAGGGCGCGCTGCCTTCATCCTATACCCGTGGGGCCGATTCGGAAGGTTACAAAATCGTCCACCTCCAAACACACGCTTCGTCAGGAAAGGACGGAACTACGACTAGCCAATAAAGTAATCATTCCAACTGTGATATGACAAGATGCACACCACACCTTCCGAAACTTGTACCGCTGTCTCGGACACTGTATCATCGCAAGTGTGACTACAAATCTGCCGGGTGGGATTTTTTCCCGGTCATTACATATGCTCTCTAGGTACACTTCTACAGCTATTTTATCCGAAATCCGTACCAATTGTTTTTGAGAATGAGGTACCGTTCAGCTTCGGTCGGCGGTACTGCTTATACTACAGTTTAATCAAACTATAGGCTGCCACAACTTGGATTGCTCTCGGTCTGAAACGTAGTCTACACATGTACGTGGATACATATATATATATATTTGTGTGTGTGTGTGTGCATTGAGCTCTCTGGTCCCCAACTCTACCACGTTAAGGTTTATTGTGTGGCCTGTGCACAAACGATCAAACTTCTTCCATCTTGGACTACTTCATTTATTACACCCTGATCGAATAATATTTATTCCTCTATCGTACCATAAAGTATAGTTTATCTTTGATCTAGATTGATAGCAAGCCTCTCCTTTATGGCCCTGTTTCCAGTTTCATTCCCGGTAGACCACCCTGCAGTAGTGCGCCCATCTACTTTTCCCCACATATGGAACACACTCGTCTTCTGACCGCCGTTTCTGTGTCGTGTCATGCTGCCTCTCACTTGTTTTCTCCACCACGCGGAACGTCTTCCATGCCGTATACGTGATATGGAAGCGTATGGGTTACTCCCTCAATCCCCGACATGCCGACATCACAGGTGTGTCGACTATGTCTTGGATATCGCGTTCTCCCACGCAGGTTAGTTATTCTACGCTATCATATAGGCCCTCGACTCCAGATGCTTCTATAAGCCGATCCCGTTGACCCTTGGTTACCCTGTTCCTTACTCTCGTTTCGTTAACACGTAAGCAACCGAAAGTCCTAGCATTTGCCTATCCTTCCCTGTCCACAGCGAAACACTCCGCCGAGTGGATATATCTCTGACTTTCGTGTGTGGTAAGTGCAACTGCTATGAACACTTGGCGTGTGTATGTATGTATACGTGTGCATACGTACTGCCGTTGCCACTTTATATTACCGTAATAAACAGCGTGGCGTTTGCCAATTACGTAAGGAATCAGCTGCCAGGCGCAGTAGGTAGACATGTTCTCAGGAGTGATTTGTAATGCTAAATGGTCTATTAGACCTGTTGATGGTAAATGATCTATTGTGCATGCTAATAGACTGTTGTTTGCTACATTCTCATCATATTGATCCGGTTGACCACCCTGTACTTCTCCTGATCTCCCGCCAGCACTCCTATGTAGCTATACGCGCAATGGGATGTCGACCACTGTACCCAGCTAGACCATATCCGGTATCCTCGTGTACGACGTGAATGTCCCCTACATCAGTATACGATTCTTACACTATCACAGGGGTGTTAATATCTTCATACGCTGCCTGTGCTATCGCTCAGATACCTCATAGATACATAGCCCCTATACATATCCGCAGCTATCAAGACACCCAGCGGAATATACATAGTCCGTGTGCATGTAAACATAACAAGAATAAACCCGGCCAAGCGCCTTTAAATGCGTGTCAACGAAAGACCTCAGCTATCCAGCCTGTCGAAGTCATCCTCACGCAACTCATTCACCACGTAAAGAAACAACAGCAGTAGGGCCGATGCCATGACCAGCATCGATATATTGAACACCGTCTCTCTAAGGCTCTCCATCCCCGTCTCGGTCAAGCTAGGTCTGCGTTTGCGGTTTAGGTTAGAAGTGTGTGGTGTGCTTCCAACGCCATTATCATTACGTGACATGGTACTACGGGTACCCTGCATGCTATTATCACTTCGGCTGATACGCGCTGGTGGATGGGAGCTCGGATCTGTGGCACTCTTGGGCTTGTTCTTGGTCTTGGCTTTCCTATCCTTCTTGTTGCCATACTTGGACTTCATCGTTTGTTATCGTATGGACTTAACACCTCTCCCCTCTGTTAACGTAATCTCATAAAAACGAGCTGTAGAGCGATACAGCCTACTGCCACTATCTTTATAGATGGAGAACTCAAGGATTGTATTTATAACCGCGTATATTTGAGTTTTAAATCGTACCTTTTGTGCCCAAGATTTACATACATGCGATTGTGTTCGGAGGTAGTGCGGTTATGATAACACTCGATTGACTTACAGTATATCTCAAATGATGCTCGTGACTAGTTCCACTACCTGAGCTTCCTAATCATACCGGAGAGACCCTTCAGCGACACCACCATGAAACATATTCTAATACGAACACATATGCCTGAACATGTACATATTCTGTGTCATTCGGGCTGTATGTTTATTGAATGTGTATATGTATATTATATGTGTGTATGGTGTTTTGTGTGCATACACGTATCGTATGTCTATCGCATAATATGCTTGTTTGTCTGTGTATGCTGTGTGCCCTGTTATTTTATATATTGTTTTCTCTTTTTCGTAAAAAAAAATCTGGAATTTTGGTTGCTTTGCTGAGATTCAATTGGTTGCCATCGCTGTCGACCTCGGCAAAATTACGCCACTAAATAAAAATACTTTTCACATCAATTTCGACGGGATCAAATGTTTATATTAATAAGTATGTAGATGTGAATATATGTATGTATATGTACACATTGGTGTGTATTCATTTGAACGTGGTACGTAGGCAGTGTGTATGGACAGACATCAGACATAGAGAGGTACATGAATACGATCAGTAGAACAGTTACTAGGCTTTCCTTCGACTAGCACGACACGCACGCACGCACACACATTGAAATGGGCCACCTTTCGCACCAGATATATCTACTGTTTACTACGATAATATCGAATTGTATATATACTTAATTAATATTACGCACACTTCCACACACCCATATATATATAATATACATTATATATATCGCCCCTCCCACCCTTTGTCACATACGCACGTACAGCTCGAATGGTTTACTAGGTCGAGATGTTCAAGAATCTGAAGAAGGAGCTGTCCGCGGACACTCACGCGGACACCAAGAAGAAACGTGGCTCCAAACAACGCTCTAGCAAAAGCAGGCCTTCTGCATCACGCGTTACGAGCGCATCTAATGCAGTAGCCACTACCGCAGCCACACCGTCGGACACGGACAGTATCAGCAGTACGCGTGGTAGTATAGATGCATTGCAACCTGTTGCGTCAGATGTGAATGTACTTAGCACACTTACGGATGTGAATCGAATCGATCCTACGCTGCCCGACCCGGATGAGGACGATTCTGATCCGTTCGCAGAGTTTGCGGAGGATGCATCCGCTCAGAAACCCACACAATCCTCTGCATGCAGCGGTGGCACCCCCACACGACACAGGGAGCCTGATTTGTTGGGGATCAGTGACGATCTCACGAGTATGTCAACAGGACATAGTGCGCTTGGGGATACATCAGGTGATGCAGATGCTAAGACACACATGAGTGCAATACCCCATACGCCCGACTCTACTATGAATACCGACCCATTTGGGTTTGACCTACCGGCCAGCCATAGCCCTGTACCGGCGCAGCACGGCAGCGGTTTGTTCGCAGAGAGTGCAGGTGATGCGCTTGATCCTCTGGGGTTGAACCAGTTTGATGACTGGAAGGGAAGTGGCTTTGTAGGTGCTGGTCCCTCTGGGGCCACTTCACAGTACAAGCACTCGGGGATGGCTGATCTGTTGGGTTCGCCTATTTCCAGTACCAAGGACGTTGGTGGTGTTGGTATTACCACAGGTAGTTCCTGGGACGCGTTCGCAGCACCACACACAAGCACAGATGCGACGCCAAATAAGCCCACGCCAAATAAGACTTATAACACCACAGAGAGTATGTGGGCCGGGAGCGCGCACCCCAAAAGCACCGCCCTGGACAGGCAGACCAGTGCCGCGGCTGCGTTCGATGTGAATGCCACTCTGAGCAGTAGTGAGATGAGGGATCTGTGGGGCTTTGTGGATGCACCACTGGATGGATCAAAAGCATTGGAGAATGAGGAGGCGAAGGCTGCAGGGACTACAGAGGTGGGTGTGTTGTGTTTGGTGAGTTATGTGTGTGTGTTTGATGGGTTGTGTGTGTTTTTGATAGATTATGTGTATGTGTTAGATGAGCTGTGTGCGTGTGTTTGAAGGAATGTGTGTGTGTGTCCGATGAGTTATGTGTATGTATTTGATTCGTTGTGTGTGTTGTGTGTGTATTTTTGATGGGTTGTGTGTGTGTGTTAGATGAGCTGTGTGAGTGTGTTTGAAGGAATGTGTGTGTGTGTTCGATGAGTTGTGTGTGTGTGTTTGATTCGTTGTGTGTGTGTTAGGGAGTTGTGTGTGTGTGTTGGGTGTGTGTGTGTG